CGAGGTACGTACCGTCATGTTTGTGTATCGTTACACCCCTAGATTTTATACATATAGGATATGCGAACAGTGGTTGTGACGGAAATTTCATCATTAGCATAATACACTCACAGCCTGGTTTTTCTAAAGGCCAAGGTATTCATTTTCCACATTGCGCTTGGAACAGATATTGACCAAATCATACCAGAAAACAGCACATGTTCACAGACTAATTTAAAATGAATTTGGGATAGAAATCAAATCATTCAGATGTAATATCATGGTATTCTCACATAAATAAAGAAATGAATCCAATAAAAGCTATAAACACCTGTCATTAATAACTACTGAATTATAGTAGAGATTGACAGACACAAACATCCTTGACAATGCCCACGCCCCTGAATGCAAACGGACACGGTTCACTGTCAGGCCACAGTACAGCAGGTTAAAAGGCATGTTATCAGCGTTCCAGTTTATGCAATGCAATATGTACACCTTAACTGACTCTAATTCTCCACAGTGAGGGGAGCCGGCGAGCTTGAAGCGCAGTCTGCCGCATGGCTATTATGAACTCCATCACAAAGCTGACCTCTGGTAAGGACTGGGTGTACAGACTATTCCACTGCACTCCAGAACAACATGATTCATTCTCTACGCTATCATTACTGCAACAGAGAAAATGAGAGACAGAGACAGATAGCGGAGGGAGAACGAGAAAAGGTGAGAGGGAAGAGAGAATATGAAGACGTGACCTCCCCATTTAAGCTGATATTCAGGTAATGGAGGAGAAAGGTAAGAGGAGAGGAGGGGGAATATCAGAGAAAGTGAAGGAGAGAGGGAGATAAGACAATGAAAGGAAACTGAATCATGCATGTCGGTTGGGTTTCGGAGGTTACCGGACATTGATAGGGGGCCAGTGAAGGGAATGGGGACCCTCATTCACTCCACACAGATACACATCCTGATAATTCTCTCAACAACGCACAAACACACATAGGCTGAATCCCAATTCTCACACTTGCACCAAGTACAAATACATACTATCATTCAAAAGTTCGAGGTCAGTAAGGTTATTTTTTTTTATACATTTAGTAAATACATTTATGTTACAAATTATTTTTATTTTAAATAAATGCTTCTGAACTTTAAATGCATCAAAGAATCCTGGGTAAAAATGTTTTTTAAACATTGAAAATAAGGAGTGTTTCTTGAGCAGCAAGTCAGCACATTAGAATGATTTCATAAGGATCATGTGACCCTGAAGACTGTAATGATGCAGAAAATTCAAGCTTTGACATTACAGGAAATAATTACATTTTAAAACATATATTTAAAAAAGTAATTTTAAATTGTAGTTATTTTTTTACTGTATTTTTGATCAAATAAATGCAGCCTTGGTGAGCATAAGAGACTTCTTTGAAAAAACATCTTATCTTAAAAATCTTACTGACCAAAATCTTAAAAGGGTTGGGTAAACCAAACTAATGTGGTAAATTATGTCCTCAAATATGAAGTACTGAAACATACTACAATGTCATGCACATTGTGTACCAATATAGCACCAGAAAACCAAGAATTTTGCATATTGTAAGGGGTTGTGAACCAAAAATCCTATCCAAATTGGTACACCATTGTACCACATGCAATGTGTTATCATCTGGGTCAAACTAACCCTCATCTAACAGATGTGGCTGATGTGGGCTTTTCATTGGTCTATATAGACAGATATACTGAGATCAAAGTAGCTGTAAATATTCCTACAATGTAATAACAAATGAGATACTCAACCACCAAAATTAAATATTTACATAATATTTGCAAGCAGGCATATATGCAGTAATACAAAAATGGGGCTGATATTATATATTGCAAGTAATATGAATAATAAGTGATTTGGGATTGAGCCTTTGATTAAGCACACTTTCACAGTTCTTTTATAATCATATCTGAACATAACAGGATCATTAAGCAAACAAACTTGACCCAATTCTCCAGTTCTCAGCGTGGCTTAACTTGTGCTATTTAAGTATTACATCAGTTGGTTTTATTCAAGGAATGAATCAGCAGTTGGAAGGGAGGGAAGGGGGAAGAAACAGAATCACTCTAACTGCAATACTAAACTGGCTAATCATCCCAGTGTGAGGTAAACAAATGTTCTTGCATAAACAAACTGCATATTAAATAAAACAAAAGCAAGCTAAGCGTTCAACAAAGGGTGAAAGCATTGTAGGGAAGTTGTACTCACAATTGTATCTTTAAAAACAGATCACTCAAAATCTACTGTTTCATGTTGTTTTCATGTCGCGACTGAAATCGGTCACTTGTCCACAGAATTAGTATTTTCTGTACAGTGAATGGCACGTAGTGCACTATATAGGGGACAGAGAAGGATTCAAACTGTGTAAATATGCTTTCCATTGAGGAAAAAAGAAGTCTGGTTTCGCGCTGTGTCAGGCTAACCACCGCACCGCACACACACTCTGCTCCGGTCCAGAGCCACGATAGCACGGAGCGGATCACATGCGCGAGTCAGCGCAGACCACAAAATGCATCGGAGCTATTTGAATTCTACACAGAATGCTATATTTTATAGCAATATGGATGAGATTGTGGCTGGCATACCCTGTCAAATGCGGCTTTACGGAGCTCAATGGCTCTGAATGGCTCTAGCCCAAGCTGTGATATAAACGAACGCTATTGGCTATTTTAAAAAGGGGCGGGGCTGCTTGATATGTCCCGCCCTGTCTTCCCGTTTCAGTTAAAATGACGTCAACACAGAGTAACGCTGCGTGTTTCTAAGCATTTCAGGGGACCTTTAAGACAAATTTTGACTTTGGCAGTCACCTTAAAGGCTATTAAACTTCAGGCAATTACACAATAGTTTTAGACACAAAGTGATTGTAGCACAAACGTTGAATCAACCACATTTATGCTTCTTTTTGGCGTTTTAATATCCTTGATTGAAAAATGAAAGCCTTCGTTCTAATTTATCATCACTTCAAAATTTCTCCTGTTGCATTGCGCAGAAGAAAATCAAATGGGTTCGAAACAACAAAAAAATGGAGTAAATAATGCAAAATGTTCTTAAAAGCAGTGGCCAAACTACTAAAACAGTGTTAAGCCCATTTTAATATCCTTGATTGAAAAATGAAAGCCTTCGTTCTAATTTATCATCACTGCATGCAAATGAGCGACCAGCACTTTCTTCAAAATTTCTCCTGTTGCATTGCGCAGAAGAAAATCAAATGGGTTCGAAACAACAAAAAAATGGAGTAAATAATGCAAAATGTTCTTAAAAGCAGTGGCCAAACTACTAAAACAGTGTTAAGCCCTATCATTTCTTGAAATAAACATAGGTCTGCAACAACAACATGCTAGGTCAACAAATGCCAGCTGATTGCTTTTTGCCTTTGTTCTTTTTCCATTCACTTTCATCCTTGAGAACTCCCTGATCTAAATGAGTTGTTATCCGTCAAGAGGAAGCTCAGCTGACCCACTAAGACTTTCTCGCCAAGCCTTGGACTCTCGCAGGGCTAAAATAAAACTCACAATCACACACAAGAATGAGAGGCTGCCCGTCTCCCCTTCACCGGCACCCGCCCCGCACAGTTCAAATCAGTGACCCACATCAGTTTAAATGTGGGACAGCCACTTTCAGGCACTATGTAAACACTCTCCCTTCCAGCTATTGTATGTGTGATGTATATTTAGCCTGGACAGGGAGGCTAATGAGTGTTATGCTGTGAACTTGCTGAATTTCCACACTGGAGCACATACTTCGACGCGGAGCAGGGATCAAAAGAGAGGGAGAAAGAAAAATGAGGTAGCTTGTGGCTCTTAGCCAAGGATTACGAAGTTGTGAGCCGGTATTGGTGGCTCATCGCCCAAGCAACCCTGATGACTTCATGCTAAAAGTTTTTCTGACTCATTTGATTAGATAATAAACACAGATCTGTTCGGATAAGTCATTATAAAAATTATAAAAAACTCTTTAATTACATTTACATAATGTATGCAGTGATAGACAGATCATTCTGTAAAAGTCAAGAAATAAAAACACCCCAAACAAAAAGCAAATGAAGTGGAGTCTTAAAATGTAAAGGATAAAGTCAAATTGATTCAGGCTTATGCTGTTACAAAAGAAGATATTTTGAAGAATGTTCATGCTGCTCTTTTCCATGCAAGCTCCAATGGGACAAAAACCCTGTAAAGTAGCCAATAAGATTTATGTGTCAAGTCTTCTAATGCCATATTATATCATTTAGTCATTTTATGGAAATGAGCAGCGTGGACATTCTTCAAAATGTCTTGTTTTGTGTTCCAAGCAAGAATTAATGGTTTTGGAATGGCATGAGTGTGAATAAAATTGGTTGTTGGATGTATTAAAAAGTTTTTGGTTGGACGTCATCACAGAAAAAGGCACTGGGAATCCTGAGGAAAGAACGTCCACATCTGCTTGAAGTCAGTTATATTCTGACCCAATATGATCAGACGATTACATAAATTTAAGTCTGGCATCAGATTTAATAATAAAAAAAGAACCTTCCATTCTTGATCAGCAGAGAAAAATGTGATCCAGTAATCCAACATCAGCAGTGATGTATTTGGAGTTCAGTCAGAGTAGCCAAAGAGGTTAGCACAGCTCACCGCAGCATGGTTTAAAAGAGCAGTGGACGTGGTTAGATGTGGTTAAAAAGTGCACCGTTCAGACAAACAGCAGCGGGGAAGACATCTGTCCAGCGCAAGAATCCAAATCCAGACATTAGCCGTAACCCTTGGTCTGTGGCAGATGGGAAAAACCATCAAATCTGGGTGTCCAAACATCACAGACCCTGAAGTGCATTCTGCTACTCCACAGGGAGAGTTGAGGTATTGCTGCTGCCCACTGCAAACCAATCAGTCTGAAAGTACCTTCATATATTGATCTAAAAAATACATTATGGGCACTTAATTTCTTTGGTCCATCTGTGAGCTCGAGCCCAACAGAACTATAGTACAGGTACCTGCCTGTCACTGACATTTTGATGTTCGGTAGGGTTTGGGTTCTGATCTGAGGCTTGCTCGGCTTTTCTCCTCTTGCGGACCTGATAAAGATGGTTTTTGGACTTCTGGTGTGCTGGAGAACAGGATAGTTCAAATATTTAAGTGTCTTCTTAAGACATTTGAAAATGCATTGGTTTGACCCGAGCAAAAAAACTCACCTATCCATTCCAAGTCACCAATGATCACCTTATCGCACAGGTCACACATGTGGTGACTCCTCTTGTTGCGAGACTCCACCCCCTCTGCTCTGATTGGCTGTGCAGACGGCTGCTCTCCCTGAAATGGTTTTAAAAGAAGAGGCGCTATGAGAGGAGTTGGGGATAAGTTATTGACATGAAAAAAATCAATAGAAATTATGATGGTTGAATACTATTAAATACATAATAATAAAGCATGGTTGTGTAAATTACTTGTTACTAGTGGTCCACCAATATATCTGCATTGGGCGATAAGTTTTTCTGTTTGGCTGATGTGTTCGAGGCAGGACCTTTATTTTGACGGCGCTGAGAACGGCAGCGCATGAGCATGCAACGCTCACATTCTCCCTCTTGATTGTGTCACCGTTTAACAGTTCTGTCTAATACGGATATAAGTCTAACAATCGGATAGAACTGTTAAACAAAGGAATTAAAAGCTATACAAAAAATATTATGATGTTTGCTTTTATATTATTAATAATATAAAGGCAAACATTATAATACTTTCTCATTTAGGAGTCAGCAAGCAGAAAATAAGCATTTATATCATTTAAACAAATCTTTGAATGTCTAATGAACATTTAATTTCCCAAAACTTGCAGACTTAGTCAAATCCAGTGGTGAGATTGTCTGAAGTGTGCATGATCGTGTGACAGTTGAATGTGGACAGGATTTAGTTGTCTTCTAATATGCTTATTTGACATTTTTTATTCATTTTAAAATTATTTCAAATTTCTTAAATATTAATTAAAATAAAAATGTTTTATACACACACACACACACACACACATACATATATATATATATATATATATATATGCATATACAGAGCACAGCATAAATGAGTACACCCCCTCTAAAACTTAACAAATTCAGCAATTACTCTTTACTTAGAAGACATGTTAGGGTTCTTTGGAGACGTAGTGTTCCAACAAGCCTGCTTGATCAATTACCAAAGAAGAATACCAAAATTATTCAGCAAAATAAGATTTTCTTATCAAAGTGATAACATTGTGTTGCAAAAATGAGTACACCCTCCTTAAACTAAATAAATAAAACAAACAAACAAAAAAAGTGTATAGGTTTAAGGCTATTTTTGATCAACAGGTAAGTATATTGAACCAAATATATTTACCTGTTTAAGTGTGAAAATATAGCAGAATTTAGCAGAAGTAGCACCAACATTCAAAAACAATGGACTTGTGATAAGGCCTTCACTTTAAGTTTTCATTTAGTGTTGAGTGAATTTTTGCTAGAAAAAGAGAAGGAGAAATAACATGCAAGTGTCTCAGAGCCGGCAAAAGCTGTGAAAAGAGTGACACTTTATCTCACAGAGTATGACGCAGCCTGCAGAAGTGACATGCATGGTTGTTGTCATCACTAGAATTACCTACTGTAGCCAAAGCAAAATAAACTCATTTAACCTCTTCCAGAGCCCATATTTACAAAATAGAGACTTCTGGGAATCCATACTCTGGTCTCAAGAGACCAAGTCAATCATTTCGGCTCTAACAGCATCCAAAATGTTCTGGTGTTGCTAGAGGAGGAGTACAGAGAGAAGTGCTTGGTACCCACAGTGACGTTCAGTGGTAGTAAAGCTTTTATATAGGGATGAATGAGTGCTGAAGGTGCAAGGGAGTTGTGCTTTATCAATGCTGGCATGAATTCACACACCGTGTGATGCAATACAAAAACTCGAAACAGAAGAGGCTACCCTCCCCTCATTCCCTGCATTATTGGGCATTTTTTCAGCATGACAATGAATATATTCATTCTCCCAAGGTGAAAATCCTTATTTACTTATCTTACAGAAAATATTGGCATATATTTTGTTGTTTTTTAAGTATATGTTTAATATGTTTAAATTTTGCCATCTTTCCATGAATTATATTAGTGATCACTAAGAAAATACATATTTTATATTTATTCAGAGGGGGTGACTCATTTATGCTGTGCACTATATATATATATATATATATATATATATACACACAGTGGTGTGAAAAAGTGTTGGCCGCCTTCCTGATATCTAATTTTTTTGCATGTTTGTCACACTTTAAT